TCTCTCTCTCTCTCTCTCTCTCTCTCTCTCTCTCTCTCTCTCTCTTTCTCTCTTTCTGCCCCCAGGGGTTATTTAAAGGGTGTTTCTAAACACAGACACATTACAGGAGGTAGGAGGTAACATGGAGGATAAAAGTCCCTGAACATCTACTGTGTTCCCAGCGTGGCTTCACATACTATATCTCCTCACAACCAACCTGCATGGTTGATATTATCATCCCCAATCTCTAGATGGGGAACTGAGGTGAGACCAAGGCTCAGAGAGGATAAGTGGCCTGTCCAAGGCTGCCTGACTATTAAGTGGCAGAGCAAGACACGGAGCGGTTATCAGGAACATGTCAACCACCTTTGTTTTCTCTTTCCTCTTTGCCCTTATAAGCACTTTCCTAAGCATTAGAACAATTTGTGTGTCTTGAGCCAACAACTTCTGAATTAGAGAGTGCTCATGATGGATTTCTGCCACAGCTTAAAGGTGGTGGTTTAAAACTATTGGGATCTCAGCAGCTTCTCCTCTTCTCACCAGTGAGGTAAGGACCTGCACACTAGGGATGGGCTGACATGAGAGGAAGAGCAGCATCTGTGCCCCATCCATACTCCCCGTTAGTAACCAGATGAGATCTCTCCCTTCCCCAACAGCCATAGCTCCTCACTTTACTTCTTTGAGGGCACTTACACTGCTCTGCCTTGTTTGATAAAAATGTATGTATTCATCTCATTCTAAACCCCTTGGAGGCACAAGGTAGGATTCCAGGTAGGATTCTACGGGCAGGGTGCATCTAACCACCAGACAATGCTGGGGTGGGAAGAGATCACCCAGTCCTACTTCCTAATGTTATTAATGGGCCACTGAAGCCTAAGAGGGACACACAACTTGTCCGAGGTCACAGAATTGAGACCAGAACCCTGGTTTTCTTATCCTTAGTTCCTTAATATTTCATTATACCATATGACTTCCCTTGTCTTTGAGGAGAGTTATGATGCATATTGAATGTGCTTTGTGAAAAACCATCTGGTAAAAGTCGTGCAGGTAACACAGGGGTCTGCAAAGACTGCATGTTGGGAAAAAAAAATTAGCAATAGTTCAGGAAATAAATAGCAAGCACTTTAACGAGGTTGGTGGCAGCAGAAATGGGGAGGGGAAGGGCCAAATTCAAGAAATACCATGATAATATACTTGCTAGGACTCACAACTGATTTGGGGGAATGAGTTTATGGGATTCCAAAAGGAGAGCCAAAGCTGAAGCAAGAGCAAGTGTGGCATAATGGTTAGCACAGGGCTGGTTTCAAATCCCAGTTTCCACGTGTTTGTTGTATGTATCTTCCCTTCATTCAATGAATATATATTGAACACCAGTATGGGCCAGACATTGCTCTAGGCACTTGGGCTATATCAGAGAATAAAACTGACAAAGATTCTGGGTTCCAGCTATGTCTTAACCTTGCTAAGTCTCAGTATCCTCATGCATAAAATGGAAAGAATAACATCCATTCATACTGTTGTGAGGATTAAGTACTCAACAAATATTAGGGATCATTATGCCTAAGTTTTGAGTCTGGGTAGCTATGATAAAAGTGATGTTAACAGAAACTGTGAAGTTGGAAGGATAAGATGATACTCAAGTAAGATTCAGTGTGGGTGTATTGAGTTATAGTCCTTTATCATCCCAAGTTTCTAATAACATGTGGCCCAGGATTGTTACAGAGTTTGGTCTTGCATTTGGGGAACGGTAGTCTGGATTTGCCTATGTGCCCTGATGTCCTTTAAACAAAGAGGCTGAGACTGTACCAAAAATCCCAGGTTCTTGAGTTTGAACTATGCTAGGTAGGAGTATGAGGCCTCTGTGGAAGGACACTGCTGGTTCTGGGATCTGTCTTGATATACAACAAACCTGGCGGAATTGGGAATAGGTGGTGTATGGTTGTTCAGTGGGCAAAAATGAATACCCAACCATTCTCTGGAATGAACTATGAAACTCTACTGTTGGAACTTAAGACTGTACAATAAGGAAACTTCAAGTGCAGTTTGAGACTCCAGGCTGAGAAAAGACCAATGAATAGAAAACCAACACTGTTCGATGGCAGTACCTAAGTCATCAGAAGAGAGAGAGATTTTGGGGGTGCCTACCAACTCTGTATGGACACAGATGGGAAAGCAACCTGAACAGCCAACAGGGTCTAAGAACATCCAGATTACCAAGTGCTCCATGTCTAGCCACTAGTGCTTCTCAAAGTGTGGTTCCTAAAGGAGCAGTATCAGCATCACCCAGGAACATGAAAATTCTTAGGTCCCATTCCAGACCCACTCCCTGGAGAGGGGCACAGCCCAACAATCTGTGTTTTCACAAGCACCCAGATGATTCTCTGATGTTTATTAAAGTTTGAGAACTACTGAGATGCACTGTTGAACTAAGAAATATCTTCCTACCTAGAGGCCTCCAGCCTCTATTTCCCTCCTTCCAAAAAGTATCCCCTTGATTCCCTCTGTGTTTACATATTTTCATGGTTTTAAAAATGAGACCATGAGGTGGAGAAATGATAAAATGAAGTTCCCATGGGCGCTTGAGTCAGTGCAGACTCCTTTCACTCAACTTTATCCTTTCACTCAAAATCTAACAAGAAGGTTGCACACAAATATTTATCCCTATAAAAATTTTCCACTTATTTTCATGTTCATTAGTAAGCTATCTTTCTTTTTTCAGTGTTCTCTGCAGGACTGTGAACAGGATCCAACTGGGCTTTACACCCAATGTGAATTAAAGAAATTATGGCTAATAAATATTACAATAGCAGCTATGATTGAATACTTACTATGTTGTAAGCACTGTGCTTACAACACATGCTTTTACACAAGCACAACACTGTGCTTTTACATGAGTTACTTAGCTTAATCCTCTAACAACTCTAAACTCCTATTAACCCATTTTTACAGATGAGAACATTGAGGGTCACACAGGTTAATTGGCCAAGGTCAAATATCATGAAAAGGCATATCTGTCATGTGAGCCCAAGCAATTTGACTCCAAGCACCAAACTTACGATCACTATGCCATTGGTCTGCAACATTAGAATCACCAGAGAGCATTCTAAAACTATCCTTGTCTGGGTCTCACCCCGGAGAGTCTGACTTAATTGGTCTGGGCTGGGGCCCAGGCAAGGATGCTTTTTGAAAGCATCCAGGTGATTCTACCACAGCCAGGTTGAAAACCCCAATATATAACATAGTCTCCATGCTTAAGCATACTACCCAAGGTCAGCTGCTAGGAAGTGGTGGGGCTGTGTGCTGAATTCAAATCTGTGTGGGTTCAGAGTTTGGTTCAGTCATTACCATCACCTTGACCAGGACTCTACCACTTCCACCCCAATACCACCTTACAACTTTCACAGCATATTCCAAGACAGAGAAATAAAGGTTCTCCAGTTAGCATATCTTATGAAAGATGTTGCTTTCAGGAAATATTTTCATGACTTCTTAAATAATCTAAAGCTCTTATTCTCGTCCTCCTCTTCTTCTTCCTCGTCTTCGTTTTTAAAGGTTTGGCCTCTGGAAAATATTTCAAATATAATGGCAAAACATCTAACTTTCCTATGAGCTTAAAAAAATGAAGTGGTTCTTCAGAGTAAACAAAAAAATCTTTTCATCTAAAATTTTACTTTAGACCAATTCAGTGCCCTGGGACTTAGTTCCAGTGTTTGGCTCAGGTTTCTGGCACTGAGCACTGGGCTCTGGCCTCAAGCCTGCACAGGGTCACCTTACAGCTGCACCTCAGGGCTACTCGCCAAGAAGCTGGTCTCATGGCAGCACCACCCTATGGCTTAGTACCAGAACACTGAGCCTTGATAGCGAACCTGGCTGAAAGCAATTCATATGACTGCAACTCTTTAGCAAACAACTTATGGAAGCCACCTGGTGAAGCACGGTACCACCCTCCCACGTTTCTGGGAGAAAAGAGAAGTAATTTTCACTAGTTTCTCTAGCAGCAGAGAAGGGTGTTTATCAAAGTTCAATTTACAGCCAGAAACTTGTGGATTGATATAACCATCACATAAAAGGAGAAACATCTGTCACTTTCATTTGTAGCCGTGTTTGTAGCAGCTCTTTCAAAAAGGAAGACTAGAGACCAGCTATCCTGGTTTGGGGGCTGTATGGTTAGGCCATTCAAGATGGCTGTTTCCTTGCTCTCTATACATCCCCTGCTTGACCAGTGCCTGCTTCACTCACATGACTATCCAATCCTCTTAATTATAGGGCTTAATTAGTCCCTGGTAACTGATGAGCCCACCTGACCTGGCTTCCCCCCGTAAATGGTAGCCTCCTTCTCCGCCACCCCAGTAGTGAAGACTGCTGTCACGTCCTGCCCGTTGTCTGCCACACATAGTGGAGTTTCCCTCCAGGATCCTTTGTGTAAGCGCCCCCTATCCAATAAACCATTGATGGTTCTGTTGCTATCTCTGGGCTCTTCAGTCTCTGAGGCTGGGCAACTGCAGAGCTTGAAGGGCTGGGGGGTACAGCCCAACAGGGACAAAGAGATCAGTGTCTGAAACCTGGTTTTCCCGCTAACCAGGTGGGTTTGGGCAAATAACTTAATCTCATTTTGCCTCAGTTTCCTTATATATAAAATAAAACTTCGAGCTTGTTAAATGAAGTCTAAATCTCAGTCCTAAAATTGTATTACATGTATAAATATTTATAGCTTTTCTAATTGGTGTAACCACTTGAAACTTATCTTCTTACTAGAGAAAAATCTGGATTTCTAAAAGTCTTTGGTTGACATTAAAGATGGAACTTAAGAACAAGGAATTGCAGAGTTTTAGCTGTAAGAAGCTAGATACATAATATGCCCCAACTTCCTCATCTTATCTTCTCCCTCTTAGTCTTTTCTTTCCTTTCTTCTTTTTTCAACAAATATTTTCTGAGTTCTGGTATACACCAGGCACTGAGCTAAGTGCTGGAGACTAAAACTGAGTTCTTAGCCTTAAAGAACTTCCAGTACAGTGGACACAGACAAGTGAACAGGTGATTAAAATACAATGGAGTGAGGCTACAATAGAGGTGAACATAGGGTGCAATGGAAGACAGAGGCCAGTCTCAAGGTGAGGTAGGGGTGGGAGTCAGGGAGGGGTTCCTGGAGATGACATCTAAACTGAGACCGACCCGGGAGAGGGGCCACATTTCTAGGCAGAAAAGCAGCATATACCTTTGAATATCACAGAGGCAACTCTGGAAAGGTGGGGAATATTTCCCCAGGGCATGCAACTGGCCAATGACAGAACTGGTGGTACAACTAGAGCTCAAGGTGCTAACTCCAAAGTTACAGGCTTGGTTGAATGTCAATGACATGAAGTAATAGTTTTTGTTTTTGTTTTTTCGGCACAGGTGAAACATCACAGTGCCTGCCTTTGTTGCCATCACCTTAATTAAGACTCAAGCTCTTCCCTGGTCTCTCTCCATTTAGGATCTCCCCTCTCTGGCTCCAGTGTCTTCAGCAGTAACTCATCAACACAGTACAGTCACATCACAGGCCCATCACCTGAGAAGCACCACAACCAGTCTACTCCAGGAATGAAGATCTTTCAGCTGCTGAGTGGTGTGGATGGATAAAGAGCCTGGCTGACTGGTTTAGGAGACAATCCAGGTTAGTGACAGCTCAGTTACAGGACAGTTATAAGGCATCATGGTTGTCTTCAAATATTTGAAGGGTTGAAGGAGGGGTTAGATCTAGTCTTTGTGGGTTGAAGGGGAAGAAGAACCAAATGGATGTACATACGTACAGATAAGTTTATCTTCCCTAAATAAGAACTTGAGGCTGGTTGCATTGGAAGTAATGAGTATCTTTACAGCAGAAGTATTTAAAACCAGGGCAGAATGACCACTTGACTGGGATGTTACCAAGGGGATTCATGCCTCTAAGATGTGATTTATAGAAGTCTAATCAAATCCTTCTGGCTCCAAGCTTCTGTGATTCTATATTTTCACACTTGGCCCAGGCCAACTGAGGTCTAACTGTTCTAGTTTCTTATCTACTCTTCACAAAGTATTTACTCTCAGTTCTAATTAATTAGCATTTGCAAGTACATTATTTTTACATGTCTAAGCAAAGATACTCTTATTGGTTTTTTGTAATATTTAAAAAGGCAATTTAGTGTTGGGTTTTCTTTTTCACATATAGCATTGATATATCGATATTTACCTCTAGGTAGTGAAGCTGCTATACTTCTGTGAGAAAATGGGCAGTGGCACACGCATACGTGCACACATAACCACATATGTAGTCTGGTGTGTATGTACTGCCTTATTTTAGGTATGCTTTGTCTGTGTACTTATATGCTGTTCATGCTAGGATCCATCCTCTTTCACACCGAAAGAAATTTTACAAATTCTTCCTTTCCTTTCTTTCACTTTTGTTTTTTATTGTGGACACTGTGCTGCTGTTCCCTGAGTCTAAAGATGCGGGGGGAGAGAAGGGAGAGTGCAGTCAGTGAAAATTGAAGATATTACTGGCAGTTCTTGCAGGTGCAATTTTGATTTTGTTAACCACAAATTATTTTCAGAGAGCAGTGGCAAAAGATGATTTATATTGTTTTTTAAGGCAGAATTCTCTGTTGCCAACATAGTAGAATAAGACTTATAATATGTTTTTACCTGATTTCTATGCTTGGTGCATGTAATGTGTTATAAATCAGATATATTAAATAATACTTTGTTTTAAATTAGTATTTGGATAATATATTATGTGGGATCTAAAATATGTATGTTTCAAAACCACATAATAGCTTTTCAAAAGGAGAAAAAGAATGCAAGCTTATTTTCTAAGTGTTCAAAATCAAACAACATTAAAAGGACCTGTCAAAATGAGCTGGCTTTTCCCTAAAAGCCATGGAACATAAATTACTTTAACATACTCTGCAAAGGAACTTGTCCTGCACTAGCTCCCATAAGCTGCCTTAGAGAGAGGTTTATGCTCAACTACACATTAGGAAAAAAAAGCGTTCCACAGCTGCTGGTTCGTAACAGCTTATTGTGCACTGAGAGCGATGCTGGGAGCGGCTCAGACAGTCCCTAAGCACTCGGTGCGAAGTTGTGGGTTAGGGCCTCTGGGAGAGCTGTTGACTGTGCACGGGATGAATAAATCATTTCTCTCAAGGTAATCTGTGGCGGGCTTCCCCTCAAAGAGTCGTAATCATCTGGCCTCTGCATGCAAATGTAAAAGTAGAGCATTGTGTTGTACTGAAATGGCAGCACATGGAAAAGAGCACCACCAAAAATGACAAACAGAACTTGCAGGGGCAGCAGCAAGCAGCTCTATATTGGCTGATAGACTTTTTCCCCTTCCAGCTGTTGCTCATAAGATAAAAATGTTTTCCCTATTGATTTTTTGTTTGTTTGTTTACTGTAAAGAATGGTAAAAGTTGGGGGGGGGGCACCAGGCAAAATCCCCTAAAAACACTGCAGGGACAGAGCCAGGACCTGAGGAGGGCAGGTGATTTTAAAGAGAAAGAAAAGGACAACTGGGAGCAGAGGATGGGACAAAGTCTGCAAAGCCAGAGAGCAGATGACAGAAGATTCTACAGCTGCTCACTGCAGCTGCTCTAATAGTCTCCTCCGCTTCAGAGTAGAGACAAATGTGTTTAGAAATGAAAGGCAAGAGGCCATGGGAAAAATGTATCTTCCATTTCTAACCAACTGGAATACAGTCTTCACAAAGCTCATCTTGTTCTCATGAGGTGGTTATTTTTAGGATTCAAATATAGGCAAAATACGAACCAGCAAACCCTATGTGCTTCTTAGCTGGAAGCGCAACTGGGTTGCGCCAAGTTACTGAGAGCACATTGCAATTTCTAAGGACAAACTTGTAGTTGGAGCCTTGAACATTAGAAATGGTAGCAATTTAGTAATATGATAGTTTATGGCCTTGCCCAACTGTTTCTGAACTCGTAAAATGCTTTGTCACATGTAACCTTAATTTTTATATGCTTTAGGCCACATACTGGCTTTAAGCCATTCTTTCTTCTTTTAAACGCAATATGAATAAGGGTAGTTGATCCCTCTACTCTGACATGATTTCCAAGAACTCTGGACCCTATTGAGCTCTGTGCTATCCTGAGGAGTGGCTCTGGTTGACTTGAAATCCTAGCCTGAGGAGATAAATACATGATTGGGGAGGGGGGAAGGGGCAGGCCAACTCTACCCACCCCCATATTTCCTTCAGGAGCCATAGGCCTCCTAAATGGTAAGGTTTTCGCCTCCTTGATAGCAGAGAGCATTTATGATTAGAAAAAGATGTTCTTCAAAAATGTCAGCAACTGAGAGAAGTCACAAAAGAGGAGGAAGAGAGTGAACTGTAACTGCATAGTTACTGGTCTGTTTTACAGATTTAAAAAATATAACAGGCTCAAAAACTTTAGTAAACTTGTGTAACGTCACACAGGAGGGTCAGAAGTCAAAGGTCTGTGAGACTCTAAAACTTTCTACAAGACAGCACGGCGCGGCGGTGAGCGGGTGGCGCGTCCCAGAGCTCCCTAGAGCTCTCCCTTCTGAAGGGTTATAAAATGCAGACAGAGAATGTGTATTTCATTGATTCAAAAAAGTTGAAGTCATTTCTGAGGCTATATGCCTTTGCGGGGCAGTGGCACCCTCCTCCCAACTCCAGCAGGGCACTTAGAAACCACGTGAGTTTGCTCCAAGGCCTCCCGCCAGGCCTGAGTCTATGGAGGCCTACGGCTAACAGGTGCATGATCCCCCAGCTCAATTAGGCACGACACAAATCTGATGGGCCAGCGGTCCACAGTGTATGTTGTAGTCTGAGCAGCCTTAAGGATAACAAACACGCCACTGAATGCAAAGCACTTAGTTCTTCTTTTATTTATTGGAGTATAGTTGATTTACAATGTTGTTAGTTTCTGTGGTACAGCAAAGTGAATCAATTATACATATACATATGTCCACTCCTTTTTAGATCCTTTTCCATATAGGTCATTATACAGTACTGACTAGAGTTCCCTGTGCTGTACAGTAGGTTCTTACTAGTTATCCTTTTATATATAGTAGTGGCAAAGCACTTAGTTCTATTGAGACATGTTCTTACCAACATGTTTAGAGACTTGAGATGATTGCAATGAGCAATTCAACTAACAGAACTATTCTGACCTCCAGCTTGAGCCATATTCATCATCTGACCCCACTCTGTCTAATCCTAAAGTACCTCCCATGACTCCCCCACATCTGTCCGTTCCAGAGACGAGGTCTCTTTGTTGTTCCCACATGGCTCCCTCACTCCTGCCTTTGTGCCCCAGCTGCTACTGAATCCTCTAACATGCCTTCACTTCCCCTCACCCAAGCAAATCCTACACCATTTTTCAAGGCCCATCTCAACACCCAACTTTTCTCCAGTGAGTGTGCCTTTAACTCCAGTCAGCTTGCCTTTAACTCCAGTCAGCAGTGGCCTCTAAAATCCTGAACAGCAGTAACAAGTATCTCCACTCTTCATTTTCATATTGATTATGTTCAAAGTAGAACTTGACTGTGAGTGCTCTGTAAACTCTCGTTATTACATCTTTGTAAATACCCACCGTCATCAAATTGTAAGCACCTTGAAGGCAGAGGCTCTGTTGACAAACTAAAATGACTGGCAAAGAGTACCACAGCAGTGATTTTATTCCTAACCCCAAATCTATTCTTGTGTTCACTTTGGATTTAAACCAGATGTGAGCTGATGAATGCCGTCCTTTGAGACTCAACTAAATTAGCTCAAGTCCTGTTCCTTTGTGCAGTGGGAACCCTACATTCCTTCCTAACTGTTTGGGGGATTCTGGAAGGGGGTGGGGGTAGTTTACAATTTCTCTTTCTAGTCACATCTGGCTCCAAGTTCTTGCTTCTGTAGACCTGCAGACTTCAGTAGCTGGAAGGAGCGTATTGCTATCCCCGAGACCACCATCTCCAGACATGAAACTCAGCTCCTTTTCTTGTTTCAGTAAATGGGCTGAAGCAGGAATGATGCCCACTTAACGAGAAAAATCAGAAGTGAGGCATATGTGTCCTGGGTCTTCACATATTAATGCTTCATTGTGGGTACTATTTGCCTTTGAAGATTTAGAAGAGAAATGCTTTGTATTAATTCTTCATTACATAGAGTAGAATGCTAGAAATTTACTTAGAATTTTTCTTTGCCATTTTCTAAGTGACTCTGATTTATTACTTCAGCCATAACCAAGGAATAAACGAAAGCTGCTTCATTATTTTTCATGTAGGACAGCATAGTAATTGCTAGTTAAACATATACAGAGTTCTGAAGTTTAATCATAATTTTACTTCAAATAGATATTACTGTGTTTTCTGGTTCTTTGGCCCAAATGGGATGCTTCTTGTTGAGAGGGGCAGTATAATGTATTGGATGAATACAGACTCTAGCATCAGACTGTGTGGATTCAAATCCTATCCTATTACTTACTAGCTATGTGACTTGATAAACTACTTAACCTCTCAGTAACAAATGGGGCTAAGAATAGCACCTAGCTCATATGGATTAAATAAATACGTGTAAAGTGTTTTGAACAGTGTTTGACACATAGAGAACACTCTGGGGGGGTTAGTTGTTTTCTTTATTTGGTATCACATGGTTTATGCTATATATGCATT